ACACACACACACACACACACACACACACACACACACACACACACACAGCACTCTACTACACACACATTCATACAGCACTCTACTACACACACATTCATACAGCACTCTCCTACACATACATTCATACACTGATTGGACACACATCAGAGGCAATGAGGGGTTCAGTGTCCTGCTCAGTAGCACTTCAACATGTGACTTCTGGTGGAACTGAACCCCGACTGCTCTAACCACTCATCCACAGTTAGTAGAAAGTTGCCGGATCCAATCCTGGTCAAGGACCTTTTGTGGGCAGAGTTTTGTATGTCCTTTTTGTGTACATCTGTGTATATTAAGCCATATCCATACTTGCATAAGGTGTATTTGTACAATGTATCCTGTAGAGGACACATGAAGAGTACTTCAAGTCATTGCGTTCAAGCAGAAAACAATACTGTGTAGTGTATTTTGCTGAACAGAGCCTGGTAAATTCATTTGAACTGATCTGTAAAACAAATCAACAATAATAAATTATTTTTAATCCTCCAACCTACTTGTCATTAGCTACGCACCTCTCAAGTTAGCAAGCAAACATTTAGATAACCTAGAATAGGCTATTGCCTTGTAAAACTTTTTCCAGAACAATAAATCTAAGGTAGAGATTAAAATATATCAGTGTTAGTAACATTATCTTTGTCGTCCTCAATGAAATACAAACCGGATTACAAAAAAGTTGGGACACTAAACAAATTGTGAATAAAAACTGAATGCAATGATGTGGAGAAGGCAAATGTCAATATTTTATTCGTAATATAACATAGATGACAGATCAAAAGTTTAATCTGAGTAAATGTAACATTTTAAAGGAAAAATATGTTGATTCAAAATTTCACAGAGTTGTAGTGAACTAAGCCTGAGGTCAAATCCTGACCTTAAGGACCTTATGGGACAGAAGATTTCATTTCATTGATTTGAATCCAGAAATACAGGTTGACCCATCCTGAGACTTTCTTTCTTGAATTAATCAAGGGAAAGAACACTCTCTTTTCTATTATCATTACTATTTTACAAATGTTTGATAATCAAAGTGTTTTTAGTTCAAACCATTTTAGATGTTGTAGTGAACTAATCATTTTTAATTAACTGTGAAACCGTAATAATGATTTTAATCCTCATGCAAAGTATAAATCATGTTAAGGTCTGTTACAGAGTAATTATGCATTTTCTGATTTTCTGTCTTTGAATGAGCAGTGTAAGTTGGTCCAAGGTTGGAGTCAAACGCAAACAAGTTGTTGGAACGAACTGTCATGTTTTTAAATCCTCTCAGACGTAAATAGAGAAGCTGGCACCTGTTTTCCGCCAACTCGTCTAAATATTCCTCTCGTCTGTCTGAAAAACATTTTCAATCTGTTCCATAACATTCTTGCTGTTTTTCTAACTCCTAGTGACCTCTTACGTCACAAAAACACACCCCTGTCTGGTTGAAACGACCAATCAGGAAACTCCCAAGTGAACCGGAAATAGAGCCCTTTAAATGTCGGTACTTCCTAGTTCAAACCAGTCGCTTCAGGCTCCGGCTTCAGTCGTTGCAACTCCAGTGCTGGGAAACAGGAAAATCCTGACATGATCCAGAGCTCTTCCGAGTATTGGGGATTATGACATCTTCCACCTCTGAGTGGAACTCTGACGGACTCCACTCATGTGAAGTCCACTCGTGAGGTGAACTTGTGTCGAACAAGTACCGTCACTACTTCGGACGATTCACAGCTGTTCCTACGGAGACGCTGAAAGGGTGCGTTAAATGGAATTTCGTACCAGGGAGACATCTCCAGGTAAAAGAGACCTAAGTGTACCGGGGAAGAAGCTGGGAAAAACCCGGAGAGTGCCGTTCTGATGCCGACACAAACGTTCTCCCTCATCCATCTTTTTCTCCCTCTAAACTTCATCTTTCCATCTTTAAAATTCTTCTATCAAGTAGAAATCATTCCAGATATTTTTAGAAGTGTCTGTTGTACAGCTGGAAGTGAGAAAACAATCGCCGTATTGTTTACTCCTTGTAAAACTTGCTTAAATTAGCCATGTTGTTATTTTCCATATTTTGCCAATTAATGTAAATGTGTGATGTGTTAAACTTTGATTCTGTTAATAAATGACCCACTGTCGTTGTTGAGTCAAAGATAAACACGTTTCCATCCACAATTTTATTACATTCAATGCACGTTATTAGACAGTCCAGAAAAATGAAAGAATCCGTTTAATTTATGAATATATATCATGCATATGTTCATCTACAGAGTCAACAAATCCCAAAAAAGTTGGGACAAGTAGCAATAAGTGGCTGGATAAAGGAAATTGAGCATATAACGAACAGCTGGAAAACCAATTAACACTAATTAGGTCAATTGACAACATGATTGGGTATAAAAAGAGCTTCTCAGAGTGTCAGTGTCTCTCAGAAGCCAAGATGGTAAGAGGATCACCAATTCCACCATTGTTGTGCAGAAAGTTAGTGCAGCAATACCAGAATGGTGTTACCCAGCGTAAAATAGCAAAGACTTTTAAGTTATCATCATCAACCGTGCATAACATCGTCAAAAGATTCAGAGAATCTGGAACAATCGCTGTGCGTAAGTGTCAAGGCTGTAAAACTACTGGATGCTCGTGATCTCCGGGCCCTTAAACGTTACTGCACCTCAAACAGGAATGCCACTGTCAAGGAAATAACAGAATGGGCTCAGGAATACTTCCAGAATGCATTGTCAGTGAACACAATCCACCGTGCCATCCGCCGTTGCCAGCTGAAACTCTACAGTGCAAACAGGAAGCCATTTCTAAGCAAGCTCCACAAGCTCAGACGTTTGCACTGGGCCAGGGGTCATTTAAAATGGAGTGTGGCAAAATGGAAGACTGTTCTGTGGTCAGATGAGTCACGATTTGAAGTTCTTTATGGAACACTGGGACGCCATGTCATCCGGACCAGAGAGGACAAGGATAGCCCAAGTTGTTATCAACGCTCCGTTCAGAAGCCTGCATCACTGATGGTATGGGGTTGCATGAGCGCTTGTGGCATGGGCAGCTTGCATGTCTGGAAAGGCACCATTAATGCAGAGAACTATGTTCAGGTTCTAGAACAACATATGCTCCCATCTAGACGTCATCTCTTTCAGGGAAGACCCTGCATTTTTCAACACGATAATGCCAGACCACATTCTGCAGCAATCACAACATCATGGCTACGTAGGAGAAGGATCCGGGTACTGAAATGGCCAGCCTGCAGTCCAGATCTTTCACCTATAGAGAACATTTGGCACATCATAAAGAGGAAGGTGCAACAAAGAAGGCCCAAGACGATTGAACAGTTATGCCCCTTTTCCATTAGTACCGGTACGGGCCGACTGGACCCTACTTGGCCCGGTTCTGAGGCTTTTCCATTAGTACCGGTACTTAGCACCTGTTACTATTTTCAGTACCCTTGGCTCTGTGGTTCTAACCGGAACGAAGAGGTACTAAAACGTGACGTCAGAACACTGTCGGTCACTGATTGGTCGGGGGCGGAGTCGGGGGCGGAGTCACTGGATCCTTCAGAAACTTTTCAAAACAATAATCCGCCATTTGCAATTTCTCGGACTGGAGCAGCGGCTGGACTTATTTTAAAGATTTTAAAAACAATACTGACAACATCTTGGTCTAATGCTGATGTGCTGGCATTTTTTGTGCTTGGTGGCCAACAACATAATTCAGAGCAAGCTGGATGGAGCTCTGCTGGTGTACCCCGATCCTCCCTCCGGAGCCTCGAAGCGCCAGACCGGGCAAGGCGTCATCTCCCCGGCTCCAAGTTAAGCTGGTCACCGCGGAAGATCCTTCGATGTGCCGACTCGGAGGCTCGGGTTCCGGATACCAGCCTTGTGTGCTCACAGCTCCGCAGGTCACTGCGAAGCTGGAGATGGGGACTCACAGATGGCCGTTGTGAGACCCTGGCCGCGCGTAATCATGAAGGCTGAATCCCGATCCCGCCCGGCAGTCAGGCGGACTGGACAGTCTGGGACGGACGGTGGAAGCGATTTTTAAATAAAATAATATTTTGTTTTTATACAAAAAATGTTTTAAAAAATTGCTGAAGCGATTTAAAAATGATTATTATTTTTTTACACGTAAAATGTTTTTTTAAAATCGCTTCCACCGTTCGTCGCAGACCCGTCTCTGTCCGCCTGTCTGCGCGGGTCGGGCCTTCATGATTACGCACGGCTGGGGTCTTGGAACAGCCTCTGTGAGTCACCAGCTGAGCTCGGAGCTGGGAAGATGAGCCTGCCCATCCAGGCTCCGGAGGAGAGGATCGTGTGACTGCGGGCAGTGTCGTGCAAGACCAGCAGAGCGTTGAAGATTTAAAAAAATAATAAAATAAACGGTGCCAGCTTCATCATGAAATCCTGTTTTCACTTTAATGACTGTTAACTCAGCTGAAAATCATAGAAAGACACAAAACTATTGGATCTCAGGAATATTTCCCTCAAACATGTTTAAAGAAAAGAGACAACCTTCAGTTCAACTTTATTTTAACCCACAAATGTACAAATCACAAAACAAGAACTTTAAAGCAAAGCTAAAAATAAAATGTATATATGTGAACAAGAAAGAAAACCACACATCTAAAATGAATATTAAAAGTAGACAATGAGTGCAAATATATCAAATGATGATGAAAACCTATAAAAATTTAAATCTAATGTTTTTGTAGAATCTGGTTCATCAGAG